ACTGATAATGATCGACGCTTGTTTGACGCTATCGACGTTTCACATTTAAAACAACTTTCACCCGACAGATGCTGTATTTATTTATAATATAATACAATATTTTTACGATTTAAAAAGAGTGTAGCTTCTGATTGATCTTACCGTTAGGTTTGCTTGAACGAACATTACTCCAGCAGGTGATGAATAATACAGCGAAAGTCGGGTTAACCTCAAAGTCCTCAAAAGGGAGACATCTATATGAACGTCGCCACGCTACTGATATAATGGGTCGCGAGCTTCGCTCTCTCCACACCTCCTTGTTTGCTTCGAAGGAACTTTAAACTCAATTTGTCGCGATTTCCTTTCAGTTTTAACGCTCGTTCGTATTTATAGCTGACGTTCTGTATTTTTGCCGTCAAGAATTACGACCACGTCAACCCCCAAACAATCGTTCGGTAACCTAATCTTGCAGTATACTTCCGAGTCCACCAACATATCAAATTTCAATCATCTAGACAAAATAAACGAGAAAACTTCATATTTACGACACTGCATCGTTTATAAAGTAGTTATCCCGTTCCATCTATCAGAATTATTAGCCTTGGCTAAAATGCTGAAATACTTTTTCCTTTACGACACTAGACCGAGATTCGAATAATTCTTCAGATTGTAAGTCCGGATATTCGTTCAGAGTGCACTTTTGGCGCACCGTCAAGAATGTTGGTTTGGTTAAAACGAAAATCTAATCGGAGATGAATTTAAATTTAGCTGGGTTTCAATTAACGGCATTGTTAATTCGTGAGATATTATGGAGCAGTTAATAGTATTAAGTTCGCGAGAATGATTTATATGCACTGTAAATTTATAAATAATTTTGAAGGTTAACGCTGAATGGAGCTTGAATGTGGTATTACACATGTGTATCAGTAGATTGTGGATTATAACGTGGAAAGTGGGAGAAGGCAATTAGGATTTTCGTATTGTTAGATGAAACGGAAAGGGATAAATCTAATTTCGCTATTCTTCGAGAGCATTTGTTGCAGCTTCTTTGATTCTCACAGAATTAAAGGAGGTGCCTAACTCGATATGAAAAATTCTTTGAATCTTTCAGTCAGTGATTTTTCGAAACGTCGCGTCGTGGCCGATTCGTAACGTCGTTTAGAAAAAAAAAAAATCATAAATTTGAATCGAAAAGTCCTTGGACGAACTAACGTAAATAATTTGTTTTCAGGATCGGCCGCCTAGCGAACAGTCTCGATGGTGGATGCGCCGGGTAAGTTAAGCGTTCCTCTTGACCGAAACAGTGCATCGCATACAATTTAACTACATCGACATTTTCTTCGCTATTTATAATTTCTTTGGCGAATGAGCGGTTTTTATGTGCGCTTTAACTCAATCTTGCTTTGGTAAAAGTCCAGCTCGACATTTTATGACCTGCATATACACATAGAAACTGCGGTCATAAAACCACACAATAAATTGCAACTCCTCCTCCAATGTTGTCTCTGTCGACCCAAGACCGAATCCAGCCCCGGGCTTTTTAATTCCAACAGAAAAATTCAGATCCGGGCTCCGTGCGCTGCCTTCTGCAGTAAATAATTTACATACTCGACCAAATAAAAAACATTAAATAATTCATCGCGAGTAATTTTGTTTACTTCGACTTACTCCTCCTCGGAGGCTTCACAAAAAGCCGCGTTTTGTGTTTCCGTTGAACGAAAAGATTGCTTTTTTGTCAGCGGCCCGACATGTTGTTTTTTATGAGGCAATCCAGCGAATCTGAAGGAAAAAATTCCGAGCTACCTGCGCTTTTACCGCTGTTCTTACAAATATTGTTGTAAATTTTTTTATGCCGCTTTGGAGAATTCCAGAAACAACGTCATCACCATAACATCGGACCTTTGTTTTACGTTCCTTTATATCTCTTTCTCATCATATATTGAGAATAAAGTTTACGATTTTTTCATTATGATTGTCCCGACTTTTATGAGTTTCTATGCAACGTCGTAAAATTTCTTTGTATTTAATCTGGCGCGAGGTTTTCGGGACTAATTGCGGCACTTCGATCCGTCGCAGGCGACTGCTCTCCAGTCAGTACCAGACGGCGCTACGTAATTTATTTGTAAATATACGCATGCATTTAAACGTTCTGTTGTGATATAAGTATTTGTTACTTTTTGGCTACTGATAATTAATTTATTGCGTAGTAGAAATAATGCACATCTAGCGGCAAGTAAAACGTCGCATGTCAAGCAAAAAGACGTCATGTTTTCGAGACGCTATAATAAAATTCATATTATGAACACCGTTCGAATCCGATTCCGGCCATACAGGTGATCATTCCTCCGAGCTTGCTTGCTTGCTTGCTTGCTCCGCTTCCGCCGTGGCGAAACCTGATTAAATAAAGTTCAGAAGCCAAAACATTCCTCAACGAAAACGCCACTTTGCATTATGGAGAGCTCGTCAGGGGCAAATTCAATATTGTCACCTCACAAAGTAGAGTTTGTCATTAAGATCCTACTAAAGATATTAAGTCATGGAACATAAAATTTTAATCGCGTTCCATATAATCCGTCTCTTGTAAAAGCCAAAGCTTTGCGTAATAAGTTTACAGCGCCCCGTCACAAAAGACACATTGACGAAATTTTAATGCCGGAATTAGTTTTTATGCAGTGGAAGCTTCAAATTACGGTCTACTTTTACGGCCCGTGATTTGTAATCGCAGACCGCCGAAAAATACGCTTTTTAAACGTCCAACAATTTCGGTTCGTCGCGGAAGTGCACTTTTATCGCTTTTTCGCATCAGAGCGGGCTTTTCCCGTGCACTTAATTACCTCGAATTTTTCCGTACGAGGATCATATTTAATTTTCCGTAACGAAACCATCAACATGGTTACTACTGTGTGCGCTATAATACGTGATACATTTTTTCTTTAACGACGATCGGACTTTCGTTTTATTAGGCTGCTTGGACCTTTGGGGTTTACTTTACTGTTGCTAACATAAGGAGCAGTATTCGGTGAGAATGGGGTCGAAAATAAAATTTTGGTTTTTGCGTCGAAGCTTTACTTTATAGTGTCTTTGTTGACTTTAACTTTAGCCGGTCTCCAGCCCTAGATGCTAATTATTCGAAGTGTAAAGCCTCTAAGAAAGACTAAGTATGTTCTTAACGCTGGAAGTGTGCGCCGTATCACGTTACAAGGCGTAATTATGCAAAAAGTGTTTCGAGGCGATAACAAAACAAAACTTCGACGATTTTTAAGTTTCAAGTTTTAACAATGTCGACGCATTTTTTTATGAGCCACGCAAACGTTGCCAAAACAGGATGTGTTAATATATTATATCGTTCAGGATGTTTTTAGACAAAGGTAGGCCATGTACTAATTTGGTTGGCAACCAACTTCGTACATGCAAAAATCCCTAATGAAAAATGAAATTTAGCATTTTAGGTTAAGTTGTTGAAAAACTATAACGCTGTTGCCAGTAATTTCACACTTTGTATTTTCCATTCTAATAAGTACGATTCAAAGCACTGGAGGAAACAATTATTATTTCAGTATTTAATAAGCACAGTCAATATAATCAATAATCACTTTTATCTAAAACATCTTGAACGGTTTATAAGGATTAAACTCTTAAATATGTAGTAATTTCCTAAGCAACTTTTTATTTTTTCCTTTGTTTGGAATGACGAATACTCGTTCCTTATTACGAAACTGACCGTTTCTCCTAGACCAACAGAAGAAAAGTTGTAGGTGCCCAATTCCCCCAAGAACTATATTCGCATGTTATTGTTGAAATTTCGTTTACACTTTAAAAGAGAGAGGAATTATTGATAAAGAAGGCAAAACTTTTTCCAAGTTTAGTTTTTTTGTTAATTCTGTGCCGGCCATCGTGCTCCCCCCGTAATCGAGCGTTTGTTGCCCAGGCTTGTCGATGTATATCAGAGGCGTGCCATCGGGGGGTAATTGCATTAGAGGTGGATTTAAGCAAAGTTGGTGGATGAAATTGTATTGTTGTCCCGGCCGTCGACAGCAACATCGTAATAATAAGATTCCAAGTTTCCACTTACTGTAGGAAAGTGGAAAATGGACGTAATGTAATTCAATCAGCTGGAGTGGGAAAGGCAGGTACCTCGAGCATTGGTGGTGTAATTGAGGGCGGGCTACTTTAAATTCAAGCGCTCTTCGTGTTAATCTAATACTCGCATTGTAAGCGCACCCGATGATTGCGGATCTCGTCTACATCCGTCCTCCACCTCCTCCTTCTGCCGGAACTACTTTACCAAACTCCGACAAACAATACCTACAACTTATTCCATTTATATGTGCTTTGTCTCTTCTTCGATTATTACGAGGATTGGATTTGTAAACTTTGTCGCCGCTGAAGGGTTAATTGGAGCGGTGTTGAACTTTTTGCTAATTTTGAAGTACAATGGTGCTCATTTATTGGGAAAAAAGACGGAGGTGGTTGTGCTTGTTTCTGACCGTTTTCGGTGTGGGAAAATGCGGAAAATTGTAAAAGAATATTTCCCTCCCCGGTTCTCTGTCGGGCCTTTCTCTTTCTATTCTCCTCTAAATTTCGTGGCCGCATCGTGATCATTATTCTTAAATTCCCCTTCAATTATTTAGACATTTCGTGCCTCATATTCTCCGTTTTCCCTCTGTATTGTTCTCACTTTATTTGCTCTCGTTCATCGAAGGCTTTTGTTTTTTCGTTCTCTGACGATATTGTAGAGCTGCAATGTGAAACTTGCCACCACTACTCTACTCCAGGAGTTATCGACTTGTTTTATTTTTACGGTAATAATAATTTTCGCAAAATTCCAGCATCTGTTTGTTTGATTTTTGACAGGCCAGACAAAGAGCCCCACTGCGTCCTAGTATCAGATCACTAAATTGAGGTCCTTTTTACACCTGAGTGATTATTATCGTTGCTTTAAAAACTTTATTTTTATATTCGAAGAAGAAAAAAAACGTAAGACAATAAAGTCACAAAACCAATTTACAAGCTTTTATTGCCTATGATTGTTCGCGTAATTTCGTAGCCTCCCTCGCTGCGCTTATCAGTGTTTTTAGTCTTTCGCTCATGAAGTACGGTTTCGTGTTCCCGTCATTCATGAGTTTGTCTTCGCAAAAACAAATAAATATAGTCTCCACGGCAACCTAAAAATTCACGGCCAAATTGGAATTTTGCGACTGGGACCAGCTGTTCATTTATACGTTTATGACTTGCATGAAAAAATATACGACGACACCACATCCGGCGGCCCCTATCAGAAGCACGGTCCAGTAATGGTCTAATTGTAAATCGGTTGCCTAAAACGAATATTTTTTTCACACTTAGTCTTAGTAGACTTCTTACTTCGTGTATGATAACAGCTTCTCCTAAGGCCGCAAGTATCACCAAAAGAATAGCACAAACTATGATGAAATCCGCTACTGTGTCTAATGCTACAGCGTCCATTAAGTTAGCCCACAATAATCTTGCAGCACGCACTCCGGATTTGTACAACGGCTCCCCATGCATAGCTTCGACAGTAGTTACAATATAACTTCAAGCACTACTTGCTTTTTACCTGTTTGGATGTAGGCGCGTTTCGTTAGGTACTGTGTTACACTCTCTAAGCAAACCAAACAACACTGCACACAATTGCGTACACATGTACAGTTAAAATGATCTTGAAAAAATTGCAGGACGACACGTACCACGGTTAGGATGGTTATAAACATAGAACCAAAAGCGACAGTACCGATGTGGTACCTGAAAAGGACGTAGCAGCTGGTGAGGACCGGATAACGATCATCGGACCTATCAGTCGAAAGTTCTCAATGACGTTATTTGTGTGTTATTTTCACTTACTTTTCGTTTAAATTTTGGAAGTAGTGAGCTGATACCGGCCCGGCAACTACGATACATTGACATCCATTCGAAAGTCCTTTCAGCCAGATAAAAGTAAACCCGAGGTATGTTAGAGCACTTTTAGCCAGTGGGGTCAGCACGTACTCATGCACGGTGGGGAACTTTTCGACTTTTCTTATGTACTGATTGGAACTGATTAGGAATCCGAGGAAAACTGCAGCCGTGGCGGTAAGATACAAAACGAGAAGTGTCTGAAATGGACGATGTTTAAAAAAAAATGACCGTGGTCGTACCAGCAATTAGCGAAACAACAAAATTTACCACTACAGGTACTACAGTGAGGTATGGCGTTCTAAAAATGGCCTCTGTTGCCTCCGTAAACATTGTCATCACTAAACCGTATCTATCGTAGAAATAGCATATAAAAATACACAACAAGATTATCGTGATGGTCGCTATGATCCCAACGTATAGCAGTTGCTTCTTGTCGCTGTCTTTTACGAACCAGTACCTACGATTGTGTGGAAATTTATGGTATAACGAGGTGGTGAAAATTACCAGACGTAGGTGGTGAAACCAAACAATCCGAGGACCGAAACCGAAAGGATTCCGAAGACCGTGTGGTGAGCGTTGAAATAGAGGCAGAAGAGAAGACAGATGGCCAACACTAAAATTATAAAGATAAAACAAAATGGGTGGTACAACAAAATTAAATACCTACGTAGTGCAGTCAGACACATGGGGAGTATTAGAACAATTATGGATCTTTCGAAGTCGTGCACGAATTCCTTTGAGTAAACCTTAACCTTAAGACTTTGCATTTTTTATGAATACCTACGCACCACAAAAGTTATTATCTGGTTTGCTTTCCTGTGTCGTGGCAAGTCTTCTACAGGAATGCATCGATGAAACAATAAACGACTGCAAATGTCAATCATAATTAAATGTCTCGGCGGAAACGGATCTCTACTTCGGTCGGTCACAACCTTCGACGCATTCGTCCGGCACCATGAAGTTCTTCATGATCCACTTGGATCCATTCTTCTTGCCAGTAAAGCGATATTTCATTATTCTAGAACGACGAAATGTTTCTCTCGTTTACGAACTCTAAATTTTCGCTTACGGTTTGCCTGCCAGATCTTTCCCCGAACAGTTAATGTTTGCTCTGGGTGTATTATCGATACCACATGTGTCTCCGCACTTGTCGTATCCGTGCACAAACCTATTGTAATCCGTGCCGATGGAACTGGTCACTGATACGAAACATATCTGCGAAATGGAATGCTACTCGCATGGAACTTGGGTGGTTAGAAAGTCGTACCGCGAATATCACGGACACTAGAAAAAATCTCAGGAAGCCGGTATCCGTAATTTTACGATTTGGTGCCAGTTCTGGGATATGTAGAGGCTCGGTTTCGTCGACGTTCTTGAATTCGTAAATCTAGAAACATGTTTAGAAGCTTGTCTGGTGTTTCGTAGGTTACCGTAACAGGTGGGATTTTCTTGAAGTCTGGAAGAGGCATCGTTGGACGTTTTTTAAGTTAGGAAAAGAGTGAAAATGTTGACATTTTTGACGAGTTATATGTCAAGGGATCACTTTGACACTGGAAATCCAACGACAAGTGACTATAATTTCTCACTGTCTTCTAAAATTAACAGAATTGTAGTATCGACAAAACTTTCTTCCTCACATAATTTATTATAAAACGTAGTATTTTTAGTTCTTTATTTCAAACTCGTTCATACATTTTAGAACAAAAATTTTCTTTCAAACAAATTAACACTTCAAACCGGTCAATTCGTATCTTGTCTGTCTTCTTTTAACTCTTCTGGTTCCTTGTAGTTCTTTGGTGTTGGTGCCAGGTAAGTACCGTGGACGTCTCCACTCCTGTCTTTTGCTTGTTCTTCGCAGAAACACAAAAAGACGGTATCAACTGATACCTAAAAAAAAAAAAAATGAGCATACGCAATTGTCGCTTTGTTTATTCGTACGCTCAAAACTTGCATGACGAAGCAAGCTACTACGTTTGCGATAAGGGCCCCACATAGAATCGCTACCCGAGTGTAATACGTGTAAATGTTCTCCTAAAAATAAATTAGTACTTTTAAGGCTTGTTTCTTTTTTGCCCCTCACCAAATGCATCCATGTTCCTAAGCCTACTGTGAGCAGTAAGATTAAACACGAAAATCCGCATTTTAAGATGTAGTGGAATCCAGTGATTGCCACAGCGTGAAACCAATTAAGAATCATTAGTTTGGTCAGTTGTACGGACGATTTTTGGAAGGTTTGGCCGTGTAGAGCTGAAAATTATCATCAAGTTCTTGTGGTCTTTAAAGTGTTCGAATTGTACCAGTTAGGGCGAACACTTTTCGTACGAAGTAGTTCGCTAAGTATCGCATGAACGATAGTGCGGTGACAAATAAAGAGCCACAAGCTACGGTGCCCAGATGGTAGCGTGTCAACAGGTGATAACTCTTCCTCACGGGGTGTTGTAGGATAGATTTGTCCCTGAAACAAATCAACGCACTCGTGACTTAAGACAGCGTTTGATAAAGTTGTACCTGGCGAGGTAATACTGCCCGACGGAACCAGCAGTTATCATACATTGCCATCCTTCAGCAAACGCATAGACCCATAGCATGACAAAAATCACGTAGCAAGCGAAGATAAATGTCGACGAGGTTGTGGTATATTCTAGCGTCAAAGGATCATCAGATTCTTGCAAGCATTGGTTCGAGAAGATGAGAACGAGCAAGAAGATCATAAAAGAAGTGGACATTACGACTGCGACGAGCGCCTAAAATTTCATTACCTATCCGTCTGTCTGAAAGTAGTAGCTTGTACGTACCGTCAGCAAATGAACCATTATCGTCGGCATTCGGAAAATTGCTGCGATGGCCTCATCGTACAGACGCGTTATTAATGGAAAAGCGTCATGCACGACTACGACAAAGAGTACGATGAAGAAGAAATAAACCATCGCTCCCAAAGCAGCGAGTAGATACAGGGTCTGTTTAGTTTCGCTAGTTCCGTATCTGAGCCTACAATCGTACCGTTTGTAGTCCAAGGCGACACGTGCTATAGTGTACTTACCAAAGAAGCGATGTAGCGGTGGCTGACGCGATGAGTTGGAAGATAACCATGGCCCAAAAAATGACGGTCGTGTGGTGCCACCGCAAACAAACGAACATCAACAAGGAGAGTACTGAAAGGAGAAGATAATGTGCGAAAAACTGACGAAAAACAAACCTAATCCTGCTAGAGCCATCGCGACAATCGTGATGATGGACTCTGAAATGGCGTGGAAGATTTCCTACAAAAAAAAAAAATTGCCAGAAGTTTGGAAAATTGCAAGTCGTACCGTCATGTTTTTGAAAAGTTTAGAGTTGTCGTCGAGATGGACGTGCCCAGCGGGATAACAACGGTGGAAAATCAATTTGCTGCAAAGAAAAATAAATCATTCGACGACTTCTTGCGTATCTTACTTGGGTGGAATGCATCTGTCGACGCACACGTCAGGGAGGAGCTTCTTCGTGCTGTGTAGCATACATCTGTTTACAGGGTAGTACTTCAAACGTGCGATTCTGGAAAAGAAGTTACTAGAGAAATCGCATTCCGAAAATATACCTACGGTCTGTTTGTCAGATCTTTTCCAGAGCAGTTGATACCATAGATGGGTTTGTTTTTCACTCCGCACGTATTGCCAAAGCGATCATACCCGTAAATGAAGCGGTTGATGTCGCTGCCCATCGATAAAGCGACGCAGAAAGGTATCTACGGGTTGGTTTTTAAAGAAGCGGAAATAAATGGTAATGGGAATAATACAACGAGGAGGCAACATGTTACGATGGCTATGAAGTACGACGTGTCGGTACAAGTCCGGTTCTGTGGTGCTTCGGATACTATGTGTCCTTGTTCTTGATCCCCGGAATGAGGAATCTGGAAAAGGTGGGAAGAGCACAGGCGATTATGCGGTGGTTCAACTTACTGGCATCTTGGACAAAAGGACAGTTTTGATGAGAACGATGTGATTTACAAGAGATTTTCGTATGTCGTCGACAAAATTTATTTCTTGAGGAACGTCATCAAATTCTGTCTCACAACGTGTGGTTTTTGTTTTGTTGAATGGAGATGTACACGGCCGTCTAGGCTACGCAATTTTAAATCGGAGGTGATAAATTTGGAGACGAAAGGCACGAGAAAAATTCATGACGGTTTAATTTTTTTTTTTTATTATTTATATTATTGAAGACATCATTTTACATTAAATGAAAATGTGGAGTGTGAGTTGTAAGATACAACAAAGAATTTTTGCTTTCGGCAGATCGCCAATTTCCGTTCAGCGTCTGTACTGATTTTGGTACGGATTCTGCGGCGTCCGTCCGTATTGATTCGGATCCTGATACGGCGGCTGCCCCTGCTGGTACTGATTCGGATACTGATACTGCGGCTGACCCTGCTGGTATGGATTCGGGTACTGATTCGGCTGCTGACCTTGCTGGTATTGATTCGGGTACTGATACGGCGGCTGTCCGTTCTCGTACTCATCCTGGTTATGACGCTGCCTCTCGACGCGGTGTTCTTCTCTTAGTTGCTGCGCTTCTTGAGCTAAAGTTAAAAACAACGTCTTCAACTCTGCCAGATGCTGAGTCATGTAGTAGGGTTTCTGCAGGCTGCCGTCGTTTAAGAGCATGTCTTCGCACATGCATAGAAAAATTGTCTCGATAGCTACCTAGAAGAAAAGGGTTTGGTTCGAACGATTGCGCAAAACATTGTTTACATTTATCATCGTCACAATATAATAAATCGTGAGGCCAATGAGCATCGCCGTTGGAAATAGAATGATCTTCATAAGGTATTCAAGGTACAACTAAAATGCGTCTTAAAGAGATTGTACTTAGAGGTGGCGAGTTCTTTCTTACCAGCAGTGCTACGGCTATCGCCAGTACTGTAAAAAAGATGAAACACGATGCAATGAACAGAGTGCAGTGGGCCACACAATCGATAAAGATGGTGTCCAGAAGGAAGTGCCATATCAAACGCATTCCTCGTTTGCCTGACTCCAGTAGTCCTTTACCGTGTATTGCTGAAACGTGTTGAGGTTGGAGTACAACGAGACAAAAGCTTCGAAAATTACCAGTCATAATGTATGCCTTTTTCGCAATGTATTCGACAATTTCTTCCACGACGTTGCAGCAACATGTCAACATTTCGAAGATTACTTGGGTGGTCGTTTCATCATGGTCTTCGGCTTCTCGTGCTAGAGCTTCAATGGTGTACCTAATTATAGCTAATATTGTCATTATCAGTGCCGCTGCACAGATAGTACCGAGATGGTACACTGTCATTACGTAGATGCTGGTGAAAAACACTCCATTACCCACTGACGTTTTATCCCTTCGAAAACATAATATTCGTTAAGAAGCCACAGAACTGAGTCGTTTACCTTGCGAAGTAATACGAAGCAACGCATCCAGCAACAACCATGCACTGACATCCATTCACGAGTGCATGTAAAAAGTACGTCGCTGCTATCGAGACCAACATGTATATTGCGCTGGAAGTACCATTGTAAATAGCCGGGTGTATACCGTTGTCGGGCTTACCTAATGATTTGAGTATCGTTTTCCGGCGTTTGCGAAAGCAATACCATGATCATGTAAAAACTCAAACCGTATACTACTCCAAAGAGGAACAGAAGGGACTGAAACCGTGGCGTTAAAAATATACACCTATATGTTGATCGAGAAAGGCACCATTATAGGGGCAAACATGGAGAGTGGTATTTTGAAAATGGCCAGCATCGCTTCTTCAAAGATGGCAATCACTAGTAGATATCGACTCGATTTAAACAGGTACCACAGGAATACGAAATAAAAAATTAGGAACGTCGTGAAAATGACTCCTAAGAGAAGCTGCGAAAGACCTCCTCCTACAGTGAATGCGTACCTGTAACAGTTCTTGTTTTTTAATATACAGGTTTAAGTTGAACCCGAAGAATACCATGACAGGAGAGTAAGTGAACCAAGCACTAGTCCCAGGAGTACTATGAACGTCCAAAAAGTACAGGCGGTGCAGTAACGCAAACCCACAAGCAGGAGAAAACAGAATACTAAAAGTAGATAATATTATGCGATCCGATCGAGTGCCGAAACTACGAACTTAGCGTGACTAAAATTATCAAAAGTATGTTCAACACGTTTTCGAATATAATGTGAAAAGCCACCTGAAAGTTAAAAATGAATACAAGTACGATACACCAGTACCTCACATAAGTGAACGTTTCATGATCTAAGTCGTTACGAATGGCTACATAACGACGTATTTTTCCGCGTGTCGTTAAAAAGTTAGCAAGATGTCTCGTTATCTTGTTCGCGTCCATACATCGATTGAATATTATCACCCTAGAAAAGTTAAAACTCAGAAGAGCACAAAGTTCGAAACCACTCACCGATCCTCTTCCTCGCAGGAATGAACGCAATCAGAATCCGGGTACCACGCTATCCTGCAAATTTCAGACACAAGCTAATTTCCTTTCCAAATGGTTTACTTACGGATAGTCAGTGTAATCCTTCGCCTCGCAACCCTCTCTCGTTACTTCGACATTGTCGATACCACAGATATTACCGCATCCGTCTTCCCCGTACAAAAATCTATTAACGTTTAGAATTTGCGTCATGTAAATTGAGAATCCTAGCTGTTGAAACGAACGTTGCTTTTGAATAAAATCGGTTTATTTTACGTACCCATCCGAACACCAGCAGTGCAGCGGGGAACAGAAAGAAGACATTTGTGCAACTTCTGTTTTCCGGTATTTCCGGTAGGTAAAGGTAATCGGTGGGAGATATATTCTTGAAAACGGCGAGCTGGAAATTGGTTTGGTCGTAACGTTTGATGGAAACGTGTGCGTATTGTGGAAAGTACCGGCAACGGAGGGACTTTTTTGAATTCGGGATCTGTCCTGTCTCTTACCAAGGACGCCATTTTGATAGACGAGGAATTTTCGCGTTTAGTTTATTCGATTGTCTACATTTGGACTAGACTGACCAACCTAATTGTGCCAGAATAACGACATATCATTTGTCATATTAAAACAATCGACATAACTGAATTCAGGCCAAAGGTTGCTCAGTAACGGTTCCAGACCTCATACCGATGCGGATGCGGCGATGGTCAGAAGTAGTCAACACTGACCGGTAACGATCAAAATGTTGCGATTAATTATAGACGTTACAGAATCCAGCCTGTGGTTCTAATTCGTCAGTACTTTGCGTGTGCAATATTAAAACAAAGAACAATTTTTATTCACCACCAGTTTGTACACAATAATTTGATCAATAATAATCAAATAATTTTGTTGACGATTCACTCATGATCAATCAGTTTTCTGAAAATCGATGTCGTCTTTTCTCTTGCTTGGTTTTGACCATTTCTTCGGTCTCGATCATGACTGCTGCTAAACTCTTCGACATGAAGTACGGAAGGCTAGTGCTGCCGTTGTTCATTACTTTATCTTCGCAAATGCATAGAAACAATGTTGAAACAGCAACCTTAAGAAGACAGTCGATGAGAATTAATGGAAGTGCAGATAAACGCAATGGTTACGTTCAATATAGAAATGTAGAAGAACGTAGTGGTCCCAATAAGGACCATCGCGAAAACCATAGGGAGTAAAGACTCCAGCTCATCTGGTACCTATACGTAAAAAAGGGTCGTTTATTTTGTAGGCGTGCGTTCACTTAAAGAAAAGGGAGTCACTTACATAAAACAAAGGTATGAAAGCTAATATTGTCATATACAGCCAAACTCCTGCAGTATTCAATGCAGAGATAGCCATAGCATCCACCATTACAGTGTCCAGCAAGAAGTGCCATAGAAGCCGGGCAGCGCGTATACCTGAATCTAATAGTCCTTTGCCATGCATCGCTAAAAGTGTTATCCTTTAGGAACGTGAGCAAGTTTTGTGGTGGTCGTACCTGTCATCATGTACGCTCTCTTGGCAAAATATTGAGCTATTTCTTCGAGAAGACAGATGCAACAAAGTAAACAGTAGTAACAGGCGATTAACAAAACAGAATCATCGGCAATGCTGTATCTTGCTAAGTGTGTCAATCCTCTCGTCGCGCTTAGTGTAGTTATTACTATCGACCCAGCGGCCACGGTACCAAGGTGGTATCGTACCGTTACATAGAAACTGTTTACCAAAGCGGTGTTGCTGACGGTAAGTTTATCCCTGAAAGTGAAACAGTAATGAAACGGAAACGACTTGGTAAAGTCTCGTACTTTGTGAAGTAGTATGTGGCAACAGAACCGGCAACGACCATGCACTGCAATCCGTTGATGAATGCGTGCACCAGATAAAAACCGAGTGATGCAAAAAATACATAGCAGAAACTGCAAATGAAAGATATAGCAAACAACAATGACTTCGTTTAATGGTTACAAAACTCCAGGGTTATGATATGCAAGTGTTAAGTCCACGTAGTCCGTCTTCCAATAAAAATCTTCGCCATAATAGATAGTAATGGCATTTAACACGTAGCCCACAAAGATATAGGACAAAGCAGTGTACATGAGAAGCACGATTAGCATAGACTGAAACAGGGACATTAGAAAGAGTCGTCCTTATGCGAATATATTGCTACTATCAAAGGCACAACCAGGAGAGCTGGGATTTTAAAGACGGCAATCGACGCTTCGGCTATAATTCCGATGATCAGTTTGTATCGGCCAGTGTATATAATAAAAGCTATTATGCTTACATACACGATCAGACAAATTGTAAAGCCGATTGCAACAAATATGCCCGCGATAGTTCGTGCCACAGTTATATACCTAGTCAGAGGAATTACGTTAAGTAATGTTTAAAAAGACAGTGAGAAGTCACCAAAATACCCCTGCGTATGCCACAAGTAGCGCACAAGTCAACATTTGGAAGACCCAGTAAGTAACAGCAGTGAAAAACCGGTAGGCCAGAAACAGAAGAATGCATCCAGCTAAAATCGGTTAGTATAGATAAAAGTCAAGAGGAACATATTAAATTAACGCGTTTTACTTCTTGTCCGTGCTTACCAATCGTAATTGCCACAAACGGAAGCCAAATTTTCCAACTAGTATAATAATAGTGCAACGCTTTCTAGAAAAAGAGTTATTAAAAGAGTCTGAAGTATTACGTTATGTTACCAAAGTGGGTGTAAAGCGATCCTCATATCCTTCGTAAATGCATCTATTGAAAACTAACCTTAAAAGAGAGAACGTTAAAAAATAAACGAATTCATGATACATTTCCTTACGGTTTTTCGCATGTTTTAACGCACGACCAACCTCCACCGGGGTGCATTTCATTTATTCTATCAGTTGTTACAGAATTATAAGATAATAGTTTTCACTTCGTGTCGATACTTACGGATAGTCTGTATAATCTTTCGGTACGCAGTGCTCCACTTGATGTATCGTTTTTACATTATTCATTCCACACACATTACCACAATCATCCACCCCATACACGACGACTCTAGTTTCTACATTTGACATTATCATAATCGCAAAAACGATCTAACAAACAAAAACCATAAGTTTTCTTCATAATTGCCCTTTTCGCCCTTACCCATAACACAAGGATTATGATTACCGGTAAAAGGCAAAATATGTTGGTACATTTCCTGTTCCTCGCAACCTCCGGTATGTAAATTGGATCTGTAGGCCCGACTTGTCTAAACTCGTAGAGCTAAAATAAAACACCGACAATAACGAGCCGACCATGACTTTTCGGCGGAACATACCAGCTGCGGAGGAATTTTCTTGTAATCCTGTTCATTTTCGAATCTCGTTAAATTCGACATGATTCTAACACTCCCGATAAATTTTGGTTAGACTGCCGAGGACAAGCGAAGGCTGAAATTTAACAGTCGAGTTAAAATGTCACGTGTGACGGCGATTATGACAGTACTAACGTGACACGCAAGGTGCACCTTTTGAAACTTCGCACGAGCTCAAATGACATCATTTGATCTAAACATCTATTGTCTTTGCCATTTCTATTGAAACACCACCTGTTGATTTTGCTTAAAATTTAGCAATTGGTAACAGCTTTCGGTTGATTGACAACGGTTTTTAGTTAGAAAATTGTCTGAATATGAACGTTGCCAAATTTACGGTTAACAAGTGGTGTTTCAATAGAAATGGCAAAGACTAGAGACCCTAGATATACTTTGGAAAGTATATCTAGGGTCTCCAGCAAAGACTATAGGCTGTTTCTGTTTGGCATACTTTTTATAGTAAAATTTCTACGGCAAAATTTCAAGCACACAAAAACAGCTGAGCATTGATGCATGACTATGGAGCGATATCTCCGACCCGAGCGTCTACCCACTTAAAAATAGGCGACGTCATTCAAAAACTCGTGTAGGGAACCTCATCTTTATTTTTATATCGTTTACTTTCATGCTGACAATTAAACGTGTCTCGAAGAATATAACTCGGCAGATTTTTTCCTCAAACAACAATATAAAAAATTATTTGTTCGTTTCGGATTTAGTCCAAGGCCAAAAACGTCTGAGATCACTGGGGCCCCTTGTGCGCTTACGATCTCTCCGAACGCTGACGTCTTTTCAGTTCCTCTAGGGCGGCAACGTGCGTCGCCGTCGTCATCATACCCAGGACACGTCTTGACATAAAATACGGCTGGCGGGTACTTCCGTCGTTCATGAGTATGTCTTCGCAAGAACACAAATAGATCGTTACCATGGCAATCTTCAAAAAAGTCATTAGTACTAGCGGACGTACAAGTGGGCATTCGGTACATTCATCAGCGAAATGTAGAAGAAGAGTACCGTCGCTACATAAATTGCCGCCAGCAGTACAGGAAGAAAGTTGTGTTGTATGTCGTCCGTCTAGAAAGATGTGTAGACAGTTTACGTGCAGACACTCGCGAAGAACGCAGTATCTTACACAGAAATTGACGCTAATGAGCATCGTCGCGAGAAAAATCCCCACTCCTGTACAATTCATGGTATCGCAAGCCGCCGTTTCTACCATAAAGTTCTGTAGTAAGATGCACCATGTCAGTCTGGCGGCACGTTTACCTGACTTGACGATTCCCGTGCCATGAAAAGCTTAAAAGATGACGTCATTCGTGCGAAGACTGTCCGCAAAATCTCGTACCTGTCATAATGTACGCTCTCTTGGCGACGTACTGAGCAGTTTCCTCTAGGAACGAGGTGCAACGCAGCAGACAATGGTAGCAGCTAGACAGTAGAGGTCTGCCGTGCAAATGCTGTCTCGCACAGTGCGTTAGACTTCTTGTTACGCTCAACGACTGTATGAACAGCGACCCCACAGCTATGGTACCGAGGTGGTACCGTAATGTCACGTATAAACTATTTGTGAACGCCGTAATTTTCACCGTAGTTTTGTCCCTCAAAATCGATAGTAAGAAGCGAAAATTTCGCTAAACGTCTTACCTAGTGAAGTAGGAGGAGCCGACGGCTCCGGCAACGACCATACACTGAAAGCCGTTCATTATTGACGTTAGTAATATGAAAAGCGCTATCGCCAAATGGAACCAGACTGCGCTACAAATCAGATACGTCAAGAACGGTGTGGATATTGTTTACGGTCAGTACAAAAGCACGAAATTCACATCTGCAGTAACAACTCCGGTAACACTGTCGAGTAGAATACCTATGGTCACCAACAACATGTAAACCCAATAACTATGCATGGCAAACACGACCAGTAGAGGCTGAAACAAGACGTCAAAAGAGGTCGCCAATTTGCAAAACGTCACCATAAGAGGAAAAACGAGGAGCACCGGTAACTTGAAAATGGTCATGGAAGCTTCGGCTGCAAGTGCGACGATCAGTGAATACCTGTCCGACAGTAAAGCGTGAATTAAAACACCCATAAAAGCGACCACGAGAACTGTGAGGATGACTGCTGCAACGAGCACCCTCATGTTGTCTTCTTGCAAAAACCAGTTCCTGGAAACGGGATCGAATAAAGTCGCAAAAAAACAAATCATTACCAAGTCAGCCCCGCCCATATTGCCCATACTACGACGGTCGCCATGAGGGAAAACCAGTAAGTAAAATTCGTGAATAAGCAGTAGCCAACAAATGCGAAAAAACTAAAAACTGCAGAGACAAGATGTATTGTTTCAGTACAACAGTACTTTTCTTACCAATAGCGATAGCAACTGGAATGAGGAAAAGGAACTTTTTCTTGAACAACGTATCCATTAGGCGCTGAAAAAGAGGAATCAGTTATCGGAAATATCTGAAAGGAAGAAGGTGATTCTAGCGGAAAATAGTGGTACTTTACTAGGAACAGTACGACCGAACTTTTCTCGTTCTTCTCGTTGACGCACCGATTGAAGATTAGCCTTGAAAAATCAAAATCAAAAGGACAGAACGTTATGAAATGGTTGACTGAAAAATATTCACTCTTTCGATTCCTCGCATCCTTGGACGCATCTAGATTCGTTTTCGTAGATATTTATCCTACCGAAAGCAAAGTAGTAGCCTGGTGCATCCTTGGGTCGGTACTTACGGATAATTCGTGTAATCTTTCGCTTCGCAACCTTCTCGTTTCACTTGTACGTTGCTCACTCCACATGTATTGCCACATTCGTCGACGCCGTTCACAATTTTTCGAACGTCAATGGAAAGCGCTCCGACGACCGTCATTGTTATCTGTGACGCAAGCTTTTACTCCTTTCTTTGAAAGATTTCTGTTCTTACCCACAGGGACGTAATCAGCACTATCGGAATAGGCCAGCGCACGTCCGTGCATTTTCTCTTTTCTGGTATTTCGGGTATGTCGATTTTTTCCGTAGGATCGACGCCTCGTAGGTCGTGCAGCTAGAATACCGAAATGATCATCTGGTGGCAAGTTTCGCCAGAACGTACCAGTTCTGGGGAAACTTTCATATACGGCGGATCGTCTTCGCTCTGCGTCGTTGTCGACATGTTTCTGAACACTCCGCTTAGTTTAAAATTTCGTAATAGTCTACGCACGACTCACGTCAAACTGTCAAACGTTGCGAACTCACCGACGGTTAACTGTCAGACGTAACAAAAGGAGATCTCTGTGTAACAGTTCCTGAACAATCCATAACTAGACACGGCGGTTTTCCGCTCTAGTGTTTTTCGCCCCACGACAGTAAAAAAAAAACTTGCTCGAGATTAATATTTTATTCACGTGAAATTTTTCCATAATCCGTATTTTCATCTGCGTCAGTTGTTGTCCTCACTACGTCGTTGTCGTTCCAGACGCTTTTCTCGTCTTTTGAACAGCCTGCCTTTCGCTACGTCCGTGCATTGGACCATGAGATTCGAAAGACTCTTCGTCATATAATAAGGGCGAGCGGAGCTTCCGTCGTTCATCAGTTTGTCTTCACAGAAACACAGAAACGTCGTCTCGATGGAAGCCTTGAAATGAAAATCTGTTAACGCAAATAAGCTTACGAATACGACCCGTACGTTCAGCAACGAAAAGTAGAAGTACAGAATCGTTGAAATAAGATATACTCCCAGTATTATCAAGAAGATGAAATAGTCGCTCCAGTCATTCTGCAAATGAACGTTCTGATAATTGCAAAAGTTTTAGTCAGCGCATTACCAAGTGCATCGCGAACCCGATTCCCAACGTTATGAGAAGAATCACCATCGCTGCCCCATTTACCATCAAGTAGGAGAATTGATCTACCATCACGAGGTCTAGGAGGAACATGCATATCAACCTGACGGCACGCGTGCCAGAGTTCAGCAGCCCCTTGCCGTGCATAGCTGAAACGGTCTCTATTTTGCACGAGAAAACGTGTCGAGTGTCGCACCTGTTATGATGTAAGCTTTCTTGGCCAGGTAGTCGGCAATTTCCTCTATACAAGCGACACAACACAACAAGCAGTAGTAGAGTATCACGATGGCAACGCTTGCATCGTCGACGTTGTCCCTTGCCAATTCTGCGGCCGCCCTAATTATCGAAAGTATAGTTATTATCAAGGATCCTGCGCTTATGGTACCGAGGTGGTATCGAATCGTCACGTAGAAACTATTGACAAATTCGGTGTTGCCCACTTGGTACTTATCCCTTCAAAACAAACGTCAATAAGGCACCAACAACGAATCTGATCTCTCACTTTGTAAAGTAGTATCCAGCGACGGATCCAGCGATGACCATCCACTGGAACCCATTCACGAAAGCGTGCATTAGGATCATACCAATTGCCCAAAGAAGCCAGAAGGCGGTCCTGAAGCGTAGACGTAATAGATACGGATTTCGGTGCGCGTATATTGTGGTGCAAATATTTGCCCTCTAATCGATAAAAATAAGAACGTTTTTGTTTTGCAGCTACAATTTGCACCACAATGGATACACGCAAAATTTTGCATTGACGCATTTTCAAACTACGTTAAATAAATGCGTCATCGAGTAAAACATTCGATGCTTACAGCAGTCCCTCGCTGATCTCATCTTCAGTACTAGATAAATACGCCATCACAAGATAAATCGTAAAACCGTCTAGGCCGAGTAGTATTATCAGCGTCTGAAACGACACCGTCAGAATGTATTGTTACCCTGATGCGAGCATACTACCGTAACGGGAAAAGCCAGAAGTATTGGGATATTAAAAATTGCGATCGAAGCTTCCCGTATAAGAGCGATGACGAGTTTGTGTCGGCCGGTCCATAAAAGTATAAACAAAAAAGCAAAATAGATTATCAGTATAACCGTCATTATGATTGCCTGTATAATCATGGAAAGGTACCTAAACGTAGAAATTCCATAAAATTCACACTGAAACAACATTTTACCAGAATAGTCCGGCAAACGCAGCAGTCAAGAGAATCATAACGACTACGAAGAACCAAAACGTGAAAGCCGTCGCGTACCGAAAAGCAACTAGCACGACTAAGATGAAGCCTGAAATTCGGTAATGTAACGAAATGTATTTGGGGTACGCTTTTTTACCAATCGCCAACAGGGCCATCACCAACGCACTTACTCCACTCTTGAATATTACGTTAAAAATGTACTGAAAACAAAGGCAAAGTAACACCAGAAAACTTACAGGGGCAATTAAAATTGACAACAGCGTGATACTTTACATAAACGAGAACGTCTATTTCGATGTCGTTCTCTTTAGAGATGCAGCGATTGAAGATCAACACTCTAAAAGTAGAAGCTTAAATTAAACAACGACTTCAGCTGCGGTTATCACCTATCGTCTTTGCACTCGTGGACGCAACTCCTGTCGCTGTAGGACGTTATCCTGTCAATAGAACCAAGTCAAGATTTGTGCTTTCTTCTTGCGGTACTTACGCCATGTTTGTATAATCCTGCGGCTCACAATCAGGTTTTGACACTTTGGTGTTTTCGATTCCACATATGTTACCACATTCGTCTTCTCCGTTCACGAATCTTCTCACGTCGACACTTACGGCCACATAGATCGCGAGGCCCAACTACGAAACAAAAATCTGTCGTCTACAACGTTCCGAGGGTACTTACCGAGGACAAGCAGATCAACAGCACTGGAAAACAACAAAAAATGTTCGTGCATTGGCGATTTCTTGGTATCTCTGGTATGTTGATTTTTTCTCTGGAATCGATTCCTTTGAATTCGTAAACCTGAAACGTTTGTCGTAGTTCGGTACTCGATCTTCGTCATACTGCAAACACGTACCGAACCAGGAGGAATTTTTTTGTACTCTGGATCGTTTTCGTCTCGTTCTAATCCATCCATGCCGACTTAATGCGCAATTTAGGTCTACCTTAGAATTAAAAATTCTTTTGGAAGATATCCTTCGAATACATCCCGATTTTGACAGCCACGTCAAAAATTGTGATTTAATGTTTGTTTCTCATCAAGACGAGAAAAATCAACATTATCACGTGGACAAACAACCCAATCATAAATGATGCTCAACCGCAAGGACGGAATTAAAGGGTTTAACTTACATCGGCAACGGAATTCCTGCGAGTGTGTAAATTTGTATAACAAGGGGCCCCGAAAGAGCTGTAACTTGCAAACTAGATCAAATTTTCGTGAATCGAATAAATATGTGGGTTACCAAAGAGAAAATTTCTCCTCGAGTAAATAACTACTTTAAAGAGAGAGAATACTGACAAACACTGCTTGTTTAACGTGTTGCCTTAAAAAGCAGAATCTTGCCGCCGTTGTGAAAATTGCCGTATTTTTCTTGTTTATAATCTGTTATTCCTCTCTTTGATTCCCTTAACTTTCGTTCTAAATTCAGCGCGTCTGTAATAACTTTTTTCGTTTATTCTTGGGTGCTAACAGATCAAAAAATTTACTTTCCCGTAAGAAAACATCTCGCATTTTTGACCCGAGCTCTCGACTAAAATCATCCTGTTATTGCCTTTCATAAAACATCCATCCCCTCGTTTCGAAAGATCCAAAACGAATATTCTGGAAACGTTGTCCGGAATCGTAATTTTCCTTTTAACAAAGCAGCAATTTATGTTTTTATCATTATAATTAAACACCGCGGGGTGGCAACGCCGTTATTTATACACTAACTTCCATAATCACGTCTGCATCTCCCGACTGAAATTAAGACCCATTTTATTATTATTCACCTCGACTAACAGCATTTCGCTTAATTTGAAACCGCTTTTCGAATCCTATTCGCGCGAAAATATTATTGTTCTTCGAAATGGAGCGAATTGTTACGACGACTCCCGAACGGGCCACCGTTTAGCGTTTTCGCCTTAATTACTACGAAGTGTTTTTGTTTCATTTGTCACCGCCGCGATCCAATTTAATGCAAGAATATGTTCTTCAAATTGCATCTTTTAGCGAGTTTTTTCTATTACTTAGTTTGTAGAAATCTAAAAGACAATTCGTTCCTTGGACGTATAGTTTCTTTCCGGGGGACGACGACGAAAAAAGGCGGCGAATAGGGAATTTTTAAGGATGAATGACCTATAACTGAACACATAGACTTTTTTCACAACAATAATAACGAGGCAGTTCTGTTGGCGCAAAAAAGCATAGTGGTTTTTATAGTTTAGAGAAATACGACCAGAAACATGTATAATCCAAATATTTTGCTTCCTGCAAATAATTACGAATCCTAGCTTGCATTTTCTCGACGAAATTAATACTCCTATATTTTAGATGTGCAGGTTTTAATCTATACGGTAATATTGCAGCTGCGGATACAGTTAGTTTTAATTACATACACTGTTTTACCTCCTTGAACCCTTGACGATACCTTACAGGTTCTCGTTGTACGTATCGAGCGCGTCGGAGGATAAAAGGAGACTCGTTTTCTTGTTTGTTTAGGCGATCTTCCGATTTCTGTCATCGTTTTTCGAAAAAATCGCGAGCGTGCGAAAACACTAAATATTTAACGAGCCGAGTAGTGTTTTGGCTGGAAATTATTTTAAAATAACCGCTTTAATTTCGAAGTGTTTTTGTTTCATTCCTCGCCGTTGCGATCCAATTTAACACCGGAATACTCCGGTACAAAAAACGCTTTTCATACACGGCACCGCCGTAATCCGTATTAAATTATGTGTTAAACCAATTCAGACTTTCAGACAGTGGGATTATTTGTTTTCTGTCATAATTAATTTTTCCATTAAAAAAACTTTGAATGCTCGGTTATTAATGCCCTTGTAGTCTTCCAAAACAAACACGTTCGCTCATTTTTCGAGAGGGAATTTATTTAGAGGTGGTGCGAAAAAATTGGAAAAATACCTTCTAATCCGCCGCAAAATTAGCGCCGAGAACATGATTAATGATGGACGATCCGGGGCGAGAGGACTCGAAAATAACACCTTCTGGGGTGGCGGGGTTAAAATATGAAGTTTTGCGTCAATAGGAAGTGCGACTCTTAATTTATTATTACGTTGAATTTGAGTTGCGGGATGAAATATTATCAGCGAGTTATTATTCAAAAGGGTGCGGATGTCAGATTATTCAAGGACGTAACCCGGTAGGTACGCACGATTTTATTTTTCAAAATTGTAACGTAATTAATTAAGGAAAACAGCGGCTCAGCGTGGACAGTAAAGGTTAACGACGAAAGAACATAAATATTGTCATACTTTAAAAACGAAAAGTGGAGAAAATCAAAACGAACAGTAAAGAAGCAAAAACATGAACAAAAATCTAGTAGTAATATTAGATTTGCATCAGAGTCAACTGGTACTATTTTTTTTCTTTGTTGCGTATGTCATGTCTGAATCCTTAAATTTAAATTCCTTGCACTCGGGCTCAATCTAGTACCATTCTCATGTTGTTAAATCTGAGCAATATTCAAACATATGCAGTGAACTCGAGCAGCAATAAATTATGGAGATGAATCTACGATGTTCAATTTCCATAATTCAGAGAATACAGCACACACTGCATTACGTGAAATTACTGATCAATAAACAGGGACCCGTCACGACTTTCATACCTTTTTCGTCATGACGTCGAATTGACGCGTGTCAGAATTATGTGACAGAATCCATATTCAAATTTCCTGCGAAATATCGTCGACCAATTGGGCGCAAACATGCGGCGGCATGCGCGCGAACCTGATTATATGAAAATCCCTCCACTTCCGGTAGATATTATCAAATTTTTGTTATTCTTTTCAGTGCGTTGTTCCTTCCAGATTCACGAATTCAGAAGGATCGAATCGAGAGGCCCTTATTTCATACCAGAGTTGGCCGCGAACAGGAGGTGCACCGACAAATTCTTTGACGTCATTTTTTTCATCAACGTGTCTTTTCTGGTACGATGATATTTCTTTTTGTAACGCTATAATGCCGTTTAAAGGTAGTGTTTACTGTTGTCGTTATCTGGGACAAGAATTTAACTTATGGTTTGTACGGACAAGATGCCTGCGGTAACGTGTGCGGAATAAAAAATGTTTACATTACAAATATGAGCGAAGGGTGCAAGGTTACAGATTATACAGATTACCCGTGAGTGATTTCGGATGTTAGGAAATTTCACTGCTGATGGTTGCGAATTTTAGAATTTTCTTGTATGAAAAGAATAGGGGTATGTGTATTAGAGAGGAGGATTGTAAAGCACCCGAAAAGTATGCCAGGTATTTTTTTTTTTGTTTTTTTAATTGGGAAAGTAATTATCGTAGAAAGCTGGTTCATCGAAGATGTTTTCCTGAAAATATGGAACGTTCCAGACTTGAGAGACTTCTTTATGTAAAGTATTCAAATATTCTTTTTGGAATTTTTGTACAAACTGATTTTGGTGTGAACAAAGTTCTTACGTTTTTCTAGGAAACTCTTGTGCACTCTTTGGAATCTATGTCTACAATTCTTGCCATGATGTTAGTTGCCTTGTGTAAGTCACTTAACAGAGATATATTTTAAAAGCCATATAATATCATTTACTATGCACCACAGCAGTATTTTCTGCCCTGAACGGCCTCCTACTGATTTATACAAAGTGTTCGTTTGAAACAAATTAACCTTGAAACTACCTACTTGCCACTTTCATGTTTTTTCCACATTTCATGACCTCTAGATACGAAAGAAGTGGTCTCCCGTTTCCGTCTATCTGCCTGTCTGTCTGTCTCTCGTCTGTATCAATTTTTATCAGACACAATCTCCGAAATTACTGGACCATATTGTCAAATTTTCTATGTACGTTAGGACTATCATGTAAAAAGTCAACCAAAAATTGGCTAACCATCCCCACCAATTCATAATGAATTTGTTTTTATTTTTATAAAATAGTGTTAGTTTTTGTCTGACTGTTAAACTTTCAGTCCTTTGTCTCCTAATGTACCTCTGTTACTTGATAAACGCACACATTACAAGTATGACCCTCACGTTCGCAGGAATAATTTTCGTGACACTCATATCGATAAACAGCTGGTACTTCCTCAACCCCTCAATTTCAACAATACTAACGCCAAATTCCAGGTTCCTCTTTTTCAAGTATTACAAGATAGTTTACATGTTACCGAGCGTGTTAACCCTGATCTACTTGGCAGCCGTGGTCATAGTCCTGATTCTCGTCGGTGACTCCTTCACTTTGGTCATTGGTCTTTACGCGCAAGCCATAAAAATGATACGTAAAGCCCCAGTACTGCTATTCCAACCCTTGATTGTAACTTATCCGCGACCACGAAGAAAATACTTTGTAGCTTCTTAATTTTAGAGCATCGCGTTCGTGTTCGCCGTGGACGCGGCACTGGTTTACATGATATTAGTGTTACAATTCTGTGCGGACAACGTCAAACTCGCGCACATGAGGTACTTTCGTCTCAGATAGATCCTTCGTACTTGAGGTAAATTTTAGTTATCACACTTGGTACGCAGTGTTCTTGTTTTTGATGGTTTACTGGCTTCACGGAATGGCCAACGGGTGTCAGTGTATGATAGTCGCAGGAGTGACCGCTGCACACTTCTTCACCAGGTAAATGAGGTACTTCGCCGCTGATCCACCGTACTGCACTCTTAGTGATTTTCAGAGAAGAACCTCCGCACTGCGCGTACCTCAGGAGCGTATGGGTGACCTTAAGGTACCACCTTGGCAGCGTCGGGGCTGGATCCTGCGTCCTTACCTTCGTGCGCATATTTATGCCCATCGCCACTTGTTTTGAGAACAACAAAATTTGCTTTGTGCTTTTCAACCAGTGCTGCGAGCTCGTGAAAGCGCACGCTTCGTACTTCACCAAGAAAGCTTACATTATGACAGGTACGATCACTCGCACCCGCACTTTGTCACTGGAACCGTTTTAGCTCTTCACGGCAGAAGTCTCCATCCGTCTGGTCTAAGAACTGCTAGACTGGTGTGGTTGTTTATGTGCGACATCATCGCCATCGACAATCTAGCTTGTACTTGCATGCACATGGCCTCCTTCTTCTTCTTGCTTTGCAGTTTACTCGTCTTTACCTTAATGACCGCTGTGAGGCTTATTCTGTCCACTAATTTCGCCCATCAACCGTGGAAGATAATTCTTGTACGTTTTTAGCAACTGGAGCTAGCGTCCGGCGCCAGACTTGCAGTGATTGTGTTGATATTCTCTGGTACGATAACGTTTTTCTACGTGTCGCTGATGAACGTAATTTGGGAAGCGTCGTGGATGTTCTCCAATCACTAGTTCTGTTGCAGACCGTCGTCGAAACTCTTATCGTATGTTTCTGCGAAGACAGACATATGAATGACGGTAGCCGCTACAATCCGTACTATATGAGCTCGGAGTTGTTCGGTTTGATGATCGATGCTCTTGAGCTGGCCTACAAGGAGACTCAGACTCAAGAAGATTCGTGAATTATAGGTCGCCAGAATTTTTAAGTTGGGTCGAAGTGATGGAAACTAAATAAAAACTAGAAAATTAAAAAAATATTTGTGTTTAATGTTTGAGCGAACTGTTTCGTCCGTTGTCTGTCGTCTGTCCGGATTTTGACAGATATTCTCCGAAACTACCGAATCGATTGTTATCAAATTTTGTATGTATGTTGGGAATCTCTGTGGAAAGTGAAATGCTACTAACCAAAATTTTGGAACGACGTTATCTTCAAATTTTACAATAGAAAATGTTTATTTAATAGTTTTATAAAATGACGTACTTCTCCATTTGTGGTTTATGAATCCGTCTTGAGTTTTTGCCTTAAGTATCTACATTTTTGGAAAAAAATCAATTTAGCTTTGAAATTGCAAAATCGGATGTTTTGAAATTTTACGAACGTTTGAAGATTATCAGAAGCATGGCAAATCGTTAATCAAAATTTATCCGTTCATGCCCCTCCTCAACATTTTTTCGAAATTTTAATTTTTCTATTTTTCAAATTTTACATTTCAATTTTTGAATTTTTAAATTTTACGTTTTTCAATTTTTGGATGTTTTGATTTGCCGATCTTTCGATTATTCAATTTCTCGATTTTTCGATTGTTAAACTTTCGGTTTTACGATTTATCGATTTTTTAAGTTTGAAATTTTCCAGTTTTCAATTTTTTTTAATGTCATGTATTTCAACTTAGATTTTTCGACCTTATAACGTTTCAATTTGTCGTTTTATTTTCCAATTTTTCGTTTCCCAATTTTTCGTCATTTCTTCTTTGGAATTTTGCAGTTTCTTGATTTTTCAGTTTTTCAATTCTTCAATTTTTCGATTTTTTAAATTTTGGGTTTTTTGATTTGTCGATTTTTCGACTTTTCGGCTTTTCGATTTTTCAATTTTTATATTTTTAAATGTGACATTTCTCATTTTTTTGATGTTTCGATTTCTCTATTTTTCGATTCTTCAGTGTTTTAATTTTCGATTTTTTTAAGATTCTTCGATTTTTCAGTTTTTTGATAATTCACTTTTTCGATTTATTCAATTTTATTTTTTGATTTTACGATTTCCTGATGTTTCGATTTCTTGACATCTCGACTTTTCAATTTTTAACGTTTTTGATTTTTCGATTTATAAATTTCTCAATTTTTCAAGTATTCGATTTCCCAGTTTTACTAAGTTTTAATTTTATAACGAACGATAAATTGATCTGATTCTTAATTGATCGTGTTTTTACTTTCGGGGACGTAAGACTCAGAGAATCAACAAATATGCGCAGATTCAATGGCATCTGTCACATCTTTGGATTTCCGTATTTCGTTCAGTTCTTTTTGCTTCTTCGTGACATTAATTTGTTCAAGTGTGCATTACGGCAGTTCGTTATAACCTCACTTTTTTTGACATATCGTTTTAATGATAAAAGACGATCAACAAATAACTAGAACGTATTTATCGCTTGTTATAATGTACATTATTATTTTTCAGTTTGTTTCCTTTCGTCTTCTATGCCTCGTACATCGTATTTGTTCCTGCGTTGAATATTATTTCTAGTTTTTATCTTTCTTGTGAGGCTATCACTATATGGCAACGCTTGTAAAAGTTGTACCAACAAAATAAATTTTTAATGCTTCTACTTCAATGCTTGCGGAAGCATTATTATAGGAAATAAATAAAAGCAAACTCGAGCGCAGAGACGGAGAAATATGAGTGGCAAAAAAGCAAAGTAGTTGCAGCAAGCAAAGTAGCAAGAAATATAATTTAAAGTGTTAATAGACTATTATCCCGAAGAACCTGGGGCAAAACCTAATAAAGCGTCTCCGTGTGATGTTGGTAATTAATTATAAGCTCGAAACAGTGAGTAAGTACTCGAACTACTTTCAAACTTTTTGATATAAAAGTGTAGTTCCAAGTTTGCGCGATATCCTCGAGCCTCCCGCCCCATCTCCTCCTTAACGTAGCGTTGTTTACGGCGTGCGTCTTTAACTTTTTATCATATTTCACACAATTTAATTTTACGAGTCCTCGCAACAACTGTTTTTTGAAATGCCGCCCCGCATTGTCCGCACGTGCTCGCTTCGGTGCCCCAAACCTAAATTAATTACTCGCCGAATCCCGAAAAAATAAAAATCCCGGAGACGAATGTCTCCACGTCTCCCGAAATTACCGAGCTGACCGTGTGTGTCGAACTCGAAAGAAAAATAAAAGGAAATAGTGAAACTGAGTTAGGGAAGTAGAAATTCGACCTTAATTCTATGAACGGTTTTTTCCCGTATCCCGCGGGAAACTTAATAATATTTCCAGTACGAAGAATCGAACGGCGTGCAGACTTATAAAAATTGCATGCACGTTTAAGCATATCTTTCTGAAAATCAGTTCCAGCACACCGTACGTAACGTAATTAAATATTCGCATACGGTTCATCAGGTTTCTTGTACGGAAGCGGAACTCGCGATCACAAGACGTGTTATTAAATTCCAACACTTGCCGTAAGTACGAACCGAAGCGAATAAAAACTCCAACAGGATTTGCATGCGCTTATTTTGCGCGAAATCGTGCGGGAAGGGAATTTAATTCGGGACGGTTTCGCGGTGACGCGACCTAGGTGCCGGAAAAATGTACATAAAGATTAGAGAGCGTTTTATGAACTAGTTTATCGGAGGAAAAACTTTGAAAATTACTGCGTAAGCATGCTCGAGGTTCGGCGGCGGGCACAGGATTATTGGACCGCTGAAGGCGGGGGTGGGGGTTGATGTGAGGTTGATGCAGGGCGCCACCAGCTCAAGGTCGGTCTAGGCAATGCAAGCCGTTGAAATTAACTCAACTCTTAAACTCACGAATGTAAACACAGCGTATATGTATTTTTTTCGCAATTCCTTGGTTTCTCAGAGCCGTGTTCTATATTTTCACGTTCGTATTTTTTTTTTAAATTTCGTAAATAACGTACTCCTCCACTTGTGGTTTATGAATCCGAGTTGAGTTTTCACATTTTGCAATTTAACTTTGAAACTGCTAAACCGAATTCTCCCAAATCTTGCAAACGTTTTATGATTATCGTAACCATGGTAAATCATTAATCAAAATTTATTCGTTTATCCCCTCCCAAAAAATTGATGACGTCGTCTCAAAATTTTGCCTAATAATTCTTCTCTGAAATATGCAAAACAATATTTGTATTGCGGTAACATAATGTTTCAAGCAAAAATACAATCTTGTTTTTTAACTGAGACTTGTGGAAGCATATTTTCGGTTTTTAGAAACTGCTGCTTCAGCTGCGAGATTCAAAATCCATTTCCGTGATGAATTTTTGATTGTTTACTTATTCCCGGCCATATGAAAGTTTAACTAGAACTTACCGTCAGGAATTATGTATTGCATGGTACTTCTTGTCATCATTACTTCCGCCAGCTAAGAAGGTTTTGTAGACTGGTGTTTGTGAAATTTAGTAAGCTTAGTGCTGCATCATCCTTCGTATACTATTACATCATCTACATAAACTACTTAGAATCTGGCTTTTAGCGGAAGGTACGCCGCAAGTATTGATTCTGAACGTGTTAAGATGTTGGAGCGTCGAAATACAAGTTGTAAGCTTAAACTCCATAAAGTAGTTTTTACACAGTTGGATTATGGAGAGAAAGGTGCCGAACTAATGAGCTTTCTTAAAAAAAAATTAGAAGACTCTCTTATCAAATGTTAATTTACCCTGAAAACATGGTGTTCTGGAAATTTTGGAGACTTTTTAGAACAATCCAACTCAATCTGGAAACGTAAAATTCTGCACCGATAAATTTTTAAACGTGAAAGTTACTACGGTGTCGAAACATCGGATGCAGTTGCAAACTTAGACTTTTACTTCAGCTCCTGAAAAACCGTCGATTAAATCCATAACATCTCGCATAATAAGGGATTAACCCTTGTAATCCACCCATATACACAACCTAATTAATTATTTATCCTTTCACCCACCCCTCGAGAGCAACCTCGTTCACGAAATTAACGAACGCTAATATTCACTCAGTCAAAACCATCCCCGAAAAGTACAAAAGCAACAATAAAACTCCAGCAAACTCTCTTGCAGTTACATGTACCAAAACTAGTCGTTATTCGAGCAAATTTATGTACACAAAACCGTGCGAGCATCCACCATGACTTCAACACAGACCGTTACACAATTAACTCGGACAGTAATATTCCTACTCTAAGCAATAACAAGTTATATTTAACAGCTTTAAATCTGTTTGATAAATTATGAAGTTTTAGTTAATTAACTGCGGCCAGCAAACACTTGTTTGTGCTGCAATTCCACTTCCACACGGTGGGTGCACAAATATTAATTCTATTCGGAACTATACACAATTGGTGGTTGAGCATTCACAAGAAACAAGTCGTGGATGTGGCGGCTTTTACGATAAAGTGAAGTTCAATGACAAATTGTATATTTTGAAATATGTTCTTCCTATTATTTAAGCATTTCCTCAAAAAATGAAAATGTACCAAGTGCTAGTGTAGATTATTTTTGCAGTGAGTTGGAAAACATCTGCAGTGATTTACCTAAGTATTTCGTGTAGATTCCTTATTTTGTATAAAAATTTATACACAAATCTAAAAGCAGATTCATAATAAAATAAGCAAAAAAAAAACACTCGATTAGGAACGTGTAATGAATACAAAGGGTTTCATTTTGTAGACCTATGTAATCTGAGCTTTTTTGATTCTTAACACCAAAATATTTTCGATATTTTTTTCATCCTTTTCCTCGAGGGCAATTGGTTGTGTTACGCGTTTTACGTGCGACTTTTGAACTTTCGGAATTATGTTGTGCGTATTAAAACATTCTAAATTGAAAAGTGGGCGTTTCGGTAATACTCCATTTGCTTTAAATGTCGAAAGAAACGAATTTTCCGCGATACATCGCCGTTGAATTAATTTCCACAATTTTCTCTCGGAGATTAAAGATGGGCGACAAAAGAGATCCATCAGTTTGCGTGGGAAATTCTCCACACTGGATTGTAGGGTACATATTTTTCTC